TACTTTTGATATATAGGTTTTATGATGTCCCTCATACGTACCCGGCTGTATTGGCTCTCATATGCTCCATCCCTGGAGTTGGTTTTCATGACGGTTTCCTTTTTCTCATTGTTTCCAGAGATCTTCAATGAAGTACTTCACGAATTTGCGTGTCATCTTTGCGGCTAAGCCACTTTTTCTACCTCATTTACTAACCAAACACTTCCTTTTGTCAGTCTTCTCTCTAGTAGTGGTATTTCTCTTCAGCAAATGGGCAGTCTAGAGATGTGCAGCTGCTCCAAATGCATGATCTTGCTCGAGAGATCGGAAGCTGGGTAGAGGGATCGGGTGCCTCGTTGAGCATGGGTCAGCCAGGTTCCGATCCCTCTACGTAGCTTTCGATCCCCCTAAGGTCGACTGGTTGGCTGTAGGTGGTAATCTAGAAAGGCTGATTTTTTACGTTGGCTCGGCACCTAAACACATTGCGTAGGCCAAGTGGAATATTCATCAGGAGAATCGTGGCTTCCCCGTTTGGCGCGTAAGCTTTTTGAGAGGACGCTATCGACAATGAATTGAAAATTTCTGGGAGAGAAAAGAATTTTCTTCGTGGCTGGTACAAAAAACCACTTTCGTGTAATTCCTGGGAACGAATTTCCGGGAAGATGTGGGGAAGAGAGGGGCATGCTGTGCGTGAAGCCGGAACCTTGGATTAGGGGGCAACCCTAAGAAGAGGAAGGAAATCGTGCAGAAGGAAGAGCTCTTCTCATGGTCGCAAATTATCCTGGGCCACGTGCGCATTCAAATCCCTCTACAGTTCCGAATGAATGTCGACTGCGTGGCGCACCTCATTGCAAGGATCGCCCAGTGTTTATCTTTCTGACTGCTATACACTCCGGAAAGGAAATGGAATAAAGAGCACAAGCATCACATTTTACCTCCCTATATGGGATGCTGCCCAGCTGGTCTTCATTTCTTCTGGGGTTTACTTTTGTACCAAGCTTTCTTTGTAGGCCGAAGTAGCCGGAGCTTCTGACTCACCTGTGCTCGCATCTCAGGCACATATTTTGATTCCTCCATAAGGTGATTTTGAGACGAAACTGGCTCATCCTCATCAAAATGAACTGGGGCAGTCACTTCATCTACTTTTATAGCCGTTTATTTCCAACCTGTTCTCCAATCACTTTCTCTTTTCCGTTCCGGATTTTCATTCATAAAAGCGTGCGAGTACGTGCTGTTTTACGATCGCTTTGTGGTAGCCCCACTACCTCTGTTATTGCGTGTGGCTATGTGTCCGATTGCGTGGCCATAGCCATACCGTTTCTCGATGGAAACTTGAGGTTCCCACGCTGTTGCGTGGCCATCTGTCCTATTCAAATTACGTCCTTTGTTGCTTGCGCCGGCGCTCACTGATGCGCTGACACTAAGGACGTCGTGTATCTGACGCAGTGAAAAAGAAACGACACCCAACGGATTAATCTACTCAATCGGATGATAACAATGATCAGTGACTGGGGGCTCTTTGTGGGAGGTCCGATGAGTCCCAGTGAGATTCGATCTACGGGCTGGGCTGATACTAATTGCGTCTTTAGACTCTGTACCAGAACGATGTCAGTGGCTAGAAGAAAATACCAGTAGTCAGTTTTCATTTCAGGTGTCTCCCAACCTATAAAGGTAGCCGATGTGAAGAGCCGAAATGCGGAAAGGAGTGTCAAAATGAGGGCGTCTGCCTTTCACACGACAACGTCACCTTCAGCTGTCAATGTCCGTTAGGTGAGCTATCAATTGAGTTAATGGATTATCCATTCGAGTGTTACGACACCTTAGCGCTGGGTTACCACCATGCCTCAGTGCTCCTGTTCTTGAACGAGGTAAAAAATAAAAAAATCCTTGAAAATCTAAGGCACC